TTAATACACTTCAAGAAAATCAAAAGAACAGCAAAGTGGCACATACCTGTAAGAACTCTGCAGCTGTAATCTCCAAGGATGAGGCCATATTGCTTGAATAAATTTTCTGTAATAATGAAAAGATTCAACTTCCATTAACTAATGACGATGTATTTTCATTTGTCAAAAAAAGTGACAAGAGTTCGGAAATTAGGAAGCGTAGTAATTGCAGATAAGGTTCATATATTAGTGTATTACTAAGATGAAAATTCATGAATTAGCATACACAAATACTTTTGCAACAACATATTCAAGAACTATACTTTATGAAATGCATAAAAATGAGGCTTAATTGTTCAATTAAAAGCACTGATATCTCAACAAGATCTCTATTTAAGATTTTAAGACTAACAATCTGCTGTGTGTTTTATAATGGAACATTTTTGGAATGAAATTAAGCTATGAATTTACTATTGAAAAAATTCAGGGGCTTTACAACTTCACAGGTGAATTTTAACTATAGTAATGCACCGCATAAGCATAAGAGGAGCTTTTGATTATCAAAGAATGTGTATGTTTATCTTGGAACCATAAATTTATTTCAACCCATTACAGCATAAGCCTAAACTGAAAAAATTAGAAGAACAAAAAGAAACCGTGAACTACAAGTCTAAAAATATAGAAGAAATCAACCCATTATCAGTTGAGATGATGAGAATCATTGTACCTGATTGCAAAGGGAGGGAGATTTTAGAGAAGGAGATGGTGAATCCGCAATTCGAGCAAGGGAGGAAGATGGCAAACGCAAAACGCCTCTGTGAATTCTCTTCAATCCAAAGAAAGAAACAGATAAATTCCATTAGAAAAATCTTACTTTCTGCACTCCAAAAAACAAACAGATAAAGAAAGCCATTACTTTCTGCAGCTGTGAAATTTAGTTACGATCTGTGATCCAAATATATATAGATTGTTCTAAAACCATTTTTTGTTCATCTACTACCACTAGTTATATTCTTCAAAATAAAAATAATTTTTCATCATGCATATACTACACAAACCCGTATCTTCCAGTAAATTTTACTTCAATTGAAGGATTTGTATCTGGACTCCAAAACTGTTATATTGCATGCTTTGCATACACTAACTTGCAGTGATTCTGTAGCCTTCTGTTAGCCCAGATGGTCACAAGTGTTCTGTGTATTCAAAATAATGTGATTAGCTTCGACTGTGTGTTAGCCTTATGCTTCCAAGTATTCATGCAATTCAGATTTTCAATTTCAATCGTTAAAGAGTTTATTGCTTTGAATTCTAGTTTACAATAGAATTTCAACCCTAACTCCTCTTTTTCCTTTTGAAACAGTTACGAGATTCCCGATCAAACTTACTTCATTCAACTGCCTATCTCCAATTGAGACAAATCTTCTTAAATACTTCCGTGATTTCATGAAATTAAAAGCACATATAACATACACATGTCTAATTAAAGTTTTGAAGTTGTGATTGAGCGTGCTGAAGGAAGTGCCCAGTGCCTACTTTCAATTAATCACTTCATTGCATTTTTTGCATTTAATAAATACGAAATTCGAGGAGTAGAAATCTAAACATAAATGTAAATGTGCAGATAGAGAGAGATGAGTACAGGAACAGAATGGAGTGATCGACTTTCAGTGACGGCAGTAGGCCACCAGCGGCGGTCGGAAGGCAGCAGCAGAAAGGATTCGTAAGGGCGGCGTCTACTTCAGGGAGTAACCGGCGAGAGCCTCGACGGCGTGGGCGAGGTATGACTCTAGGGAGACCGACAGGCGAATTTCACCGGTTGGTTCGGGTTCATCTGGGCCCGGCCCAATTCCGACCCTGTTTTCGGGATTTTTCCACTATAAAATATAATTTTTTTATCCCATCAAAATTGACGGATAAATTATTAAATTACCCGTGTCAAATTAAAATTTTATACAATTCTTTTAGCAGTCTGTCTCATTTTCGTCTGTCTTGTCCTATCTTGTCTCGTCTAATCCTATTCAACCTCCGCCACATACCGAACATATTTTCAAATACTGATTTGAGAGTTTTAAAGGTGAAAATTAGTATATATGATGAAGGACTGAATTTGTATATTCTTTAAAATGAAAAATATCTGTATATATTCCTATTTCCATTTAGACATCCAGCAAAAAAGTATAAGAGAATAAACTTGTTTTTAGCTCAAAACCATATATAAATCGACGGTCTTTGCTTTTGTTTTATATATTAAATTCGTTATATAATCTACACTGAAAGTTACAAAGTTGGAACCATGATTACAAAGTCTACAAATAGACGAAATCAAGAGATAATTGAGAAGAGGAAAAAAGTTATTCAATCTACCAGATGAGATGAGAAACATACTGTAATTGTACCAACTTTGAGCGAAGAAGACGGTGAATCAATGATTGACGAGAATATCGAGCAAGTGAAGAAGAAGATAACATTCAATGACTACGACGACACAATCACACAAATGCTCAAGAAAGAAATACGACAAACACAGTGAGAAGGTAATTTTGGATCATTGGCCAAATTGCCAAACTAGAAACTAGGATACAGTGAGTCGGATTATATGAGTGGTTTTATCTGTGATTGGTTCATCCGCATTGGAGTTTAATTATGGTCTGTCTATTTTTGTCCCTGTTTGGTTGAGTATCAAGTAGGGGTGTTCGTGGTAATATTTGGTGCATTTTTTCAAATCCCAAAAAAATCATCGTCAATTGTATACCTTATCTTTCGTAGCATGCATTCCCATATGTGTCGCATGTGAGCTGGTTTATATGGTTTGTATTTATAACACTTCAAGCTAATAATTATAAAACCATGACTTCAAAACAAATTTAAGATTAAATTATGGATTTGCTCCCTGAAGTTTATCATTAATTACAGAACCGGTCCTTATCCTTATTTATATTACTAAAGAACCTTCCACGTATGTAATTTGTATTGGATTTGATCATACACACTAAAGGTCATCCAATTTTTCCGTTAAATATCATATTTTTATCATTTTTATCTTTGTTTCACCAATTTCCAAACCATAGGGGCCAAATTTGTAATTTCTTCTTAAATTATATTATATTTATATTTATATTTTATAAATATATTATATCATATATTTATATTTATATTCAGAAATTATTTATTGTATATATCTATAAATTATATTATGTTTCTTTTTTATAAAATTACATTTTGTATTTTATATAAATTATATTTATATTTATATTTTATATATTTATAAGTCTTACGTATTTGAACTCTTCATCTATGTAATTTGTATAGTGGTTTGATTTCTTGTTTGTAACATAAATCTCAATTTTGTACAATTTAATCAAATAATTTATGCTACAAACTCTAAACTAACTCACTATACAAATTGCATCGGCTCAAGTACATAAAATACAAATATAATATATTTTATATAGAAAATATAAATACAATATGTAATTTTATAAAACATAAATATAATTTAATTTATAGATATGTAAAATATAAACTAATTTGTAAATATAGATATATAAATGTAATATATATTATAAAATATAATTTTATAAAATTAAATGTTCAAATATATAAATTATAAACATTACTTAAGATCATGTGAGACCAGACTGCGAACGTAACCTTCACAATATTTTTGCTATGAAGGTTCAAATTTTTTTTACCTTCACAATATTTTTTTGTGAATTTTCAAGTGTAAAAATGTGGTCTCACGAAAACAAGTTGGTCTCACGTGAACACAACCCATATAAACACACACACACACACACACACATATATATATATATATATATACAGATGAAAGATCGTGTGAGAAAGAGAGTTAAGATAAGATACGTAAAAAAGGATCTGGACCCTTGATCACCTTTAATCTCAAAACTCATCCATGAATTACGCTTGATACATAGATTGATCTGGTGCATCTCATCCTAATGTGCATGCAAAGGTGAAGATCTTTTTTTTACGCTTCTCACCGAAAGTCTCATTCTTACCGCAACTCAACCCTATGTGTGTGTGTGTGTGTATATATATATATATATATATATATATATATATATATATAAGGGTTCATTCAAGGGAGAACTGACTAGTTTGTGGTAACCGTGAGATCCAATCTCAACCACAAATCAATAGACAAATTAGGAAATTTTTAATTAAAATTTTAATATAATGACATTTTATGTATTTTCTCTCCTCTCTCTTCTCTTCACTCTTCGTCTTCCGGCCTTCGGCCACCCTCCTTCGGTGATACCATAGTGTGATACTCAAGCACATATAAGATGCATTGTGATACCACTATATTACATATTCGATCGACCACACAAACGACCTCAGTGTGATACCCAATCACATATAAGATGCATTGTGATACCACTGTGTTACATATCCGATCGACCACACAAACGACCTCAGTGTGATACCCAATCACATATAAGATGCATTGTGATACCACTGTGGTATCATCGGAGAACGGTGGCTGGAGGCCAGAGGACGTAGGCCGGGAAAAGAGTAGAGAGGAGAGAAAATACCTAAAATGTCCTTGCATTAAAATTTTAATTAAAAATTACCAAAATTAAAAATTTCCTAATTTATCTATTGATTTGTGGTTGAGATTGGAACTCACGGTTACCACAAAATAATTAGTTCTGATTTGATTAGATCCCTATATATATATATATATAGTGTGTGGGAGGGGGGAGGGTCGGGTTTAGAGGAAACCCACAAAGATTAAAAAAACGAAGATTGCCTTAATAAACATTGATCTACTTTAATCCAATGATTATTAAAAACAACAATTTAAACAATTTATTAAATGTAAAAAAGAAAAAATGGTCCATTTCATTAATGTATAATAATTCTATTTATTAAAATCCCTCATTTAAAGGAATTTACCATAAAT